CATTAGTTTCAATGAAAAAGAACAAATCTACCAAGTCGATGAGCCGGGTGGCACAACAAGGGACGACATGACGTACGGTGGAGTAGCATATGAGGTGCGCCTCAAGACCCGGTGGTGTCAGTGCGAGAGACCTCACAAGTATCATTGGCCTTGCTCGCGTGTGATGACCGCCGCAAGGTTCAGAAACTTGCAAGTATCCGATGGTACCACCTTGCGGTTGCATGAGTTCACATTGGAACGAACGAGGTTGACATGGGCTCCTAGGTTTCATCCCTTCCTAGATCAGTCACAGTGGCCTGAGTATGATGGGCCACACATCGTCCCCGACCCCGAACTCATGGTGCCTACAAAGGGAAGACAAAGAAAGAATAGGTTTAGGGATGACATGGATGACCTAGCTGGATACACCGGAATGAAACAATTTGGTAGCGGCCATTTCATGGAGGCACCGGACATCAATATTTGTGGTAAATGTGACGAGCCGGGACACAATGTTAGGAAATGCACCAAAAAGCCACAGACCGATGCCAACACTCCCGATCCCACTAGTCAAAGTGGTGCCCGAAGAGGAGTTACCGGTGGCACACGAGGAGGTAGGAGTGGTAGTGGACGAGGAGGCAGGAGTGGTGCGCGTGGAGGACGGACGAATCTTGGCGGTAGTGGATGAGGAGACAGTATTAGAGGGCGTGGGGGACGGTCGGGTACCGGCGTCCGTGGTCGTAGGACGAGAAGGGTTGATAGAGGAAGGCCTATTGACATCTTGCTTAACCCAGATGGTTGAAATAATGTGAATGGTACTTGTTATTTGGTCTTGCTTATTTGTTTTTCTTGCATACATACATGTTATTTTACTTTACTAACTACCAAATTTGTCTTTCTAGGCATGGATTCTTCTGGTTCCGTGACGAGGCCACCTTGTGCTAACCACGAGGACATGCCGGATAAGTGGACAGACGCCGAGTTGGATAAGGTGAAGGACAAAGATATGAGAACTCCATCTTGTTGGTGTGGAGATGTTTGCAAAGTTAAGGTACCCACCGATCGCAAGAAATCATGGACGGAAGGAAGAAGATATTTTGTTTGTCCCAACTATACCTACGATCGTCCTCGTCCAGCTCACGCCTATGATGTACCGCCGGTAAGTTGTTCAAGTTCAAAGAGTATTCAACCATTGCTACAACTTGAACCTATCTTACTAATGACCACATTTGTTCTTTATTCGTACGTAGTCACCGCCTCCACTTTGTAAGGTACTTCACATGGATAGATCAAGATGTGCCAGAATATGTTAAGAAAGATCAATATCGAGATTGTCTAAGGAGGCAATGGTTGTTTGAAGAAGGATTTCAAAGAGGCTTGGATGAAGAGCGTCGTGAAAAGGAGAGGATGGAGCGAAAGAAGCGTGAGGAGGAGAGGGCACGCAAGGAGAAGATTGCTCGTCAAGAGGAGAGAGAGCTAGAAAGCTTGCAAGGGCTCGTGAAGCCCAAGAGGAGGACGAGACACGCGACAAGAAAGAAAAATGGTCTCGTGTGACCCAATAAGGCCTTCGTTTCAAAAAACTAGTCATGAACTATGTCTTCGATTCGAGAAACATGTGATGAACTATGTCTTTGATTTGTGAAACATGTCATGAACTATGTACTTTATTGTGAAACCTGTCATGAACTATGTCTTTGATTTGTGAAACTTGTGATGAAACTATCTCATGAACTATGCTTGTTGTGCTGTTGATGTGACTTCACTTGTCTTCAAATGATCAAGAAGAAAAACAGAGTAAACTCTGCTCTACTTTGCACCCTACCGCCAGAAGCCTCGGTGGTAGGCTATGAAACCCCACCGCCATGGGCCTTGGCGGTAAGCAATTAAACCCCACAGCAAACTCCTGGAACGCAAACTCTCCCCTGTTTTGTGGTAGGGTTGGCCATCCTACCGCCAAGGCAGACGACGGTATGGTGGTCACCCAACTGCCTGCTCTGCTCCTTGTTCTATGACCATATCGGCGATATTTTTATCGGTAGGGTTGGCCACCCTATCGCCAGCCCCCTCGGCGGTAGGTTCCTATCGCCAGGGATCATGGTGGTAGGGTTGGCCACCCTACGGCCATTACTATTGTGACCAAATCGGCGACATTTCCAGCGGTAGGGTTGGCCACCCTACCGCCAGCCCTCTCGGCAGTAGCACTCTACCGCCAGGGATCATGGCATTAGGGTTGGCCACCCTACGGCCATTACTACTGTGACCAAATTGGCCATTCGTTCGTCGATAGGTTTGGCCATCCTACCGCCGGAGCCTATGGTGGTAGGGTGCTGATCCATGTCCCTTTAGCTTTATTTTATAGCCCTTTGCCTTTTCATTTGTTACAAACTTCTATGAACTAAGCATTCACAAATGACATCCAAAAATGATCGAGTAGCAAAGACATACATAACTGAACATAGTTCATTACATCCACAAATGACACTTGTTCAAATGACTTAAAACATCTAGGGATTCGAATGACATGAGTTCAAACTACAAGCTCAAGCTCGAGCATACATTTCCTACAACGGAAAAAAAGATCTAAAATGTATAAGACGTTCAATTTGTACGCCATGATTAGGATTAGGCTTCAGTTGATAATCCGACGATCCCGCCCAATTCTCCAACACACCTTTCGTTTCGCCGAACCAGGCCCATCCGGCACGACGTTCCGAAATCTCTGACTTGCCTTGTGTGATTGCCCATCCAATGACCTGTCCGGGTTTTCTCAAGTCCAGCTCGCGGAATTCTTCTATGTTCACAGAGAAAAAGATCTCCGTTGCCACAGAATGTCTGCAAGCATATTCCATCTCATGCAACTCAATAAGTATCTTCTGTTTTTCTTTCACAAGCCTACGAAAAAAAAATCTCCTTAAGATCAGAAGGTTCCTCCATGAATGGATACTTGTTGAAATCCATCATGGTAACAATTGCCTCATCATTGCTCTTGAACCATGCCTCAAGCTCCCTCTTGATACGAAGTACTCACTCCGCTACAATCTTCTCAGACGCTACCGCCAGACTCTTAGATACAATGTCACAACACTTCTCATATACTTTCTTCATCTCCTCCGGGGTCATGTTTTCCATGCTATATGAAATGGAACAACCCAAAATTCAAATCAAATGATACAATACAAACACAAAGCATAACTTATTTAGGCTACATAATGTTCTCACTGGTTCAAATGACATAGGTTACATAGACGATAAGGGTACATGCCATTACAGTCCAAATGACACTACAACATCATGTGTTTCAACCCCCTCTACTAGTCCATCAACAAGACATCTTTGTCGTACGCCCCGGAGTTGCAACAAATGACATCATTTCTTTCACGGACCCAAGCCCAACGAGTTGCCCGACTAAGTATCGCCGATTATGGTTGCCTAACTAGCCAATCAATGATCTGGCCAGGGTTGTTAAAGTCCATCTCATTCACTTCATCCCATGTTTCACACAATGCAATTTGCCTTGCAAGAGCGCGTCTATGAATTTTCCTTCCTTCTTGAGGTTGCTTATGTTTTTCTCTTTAGCTTGGTATAACTTAACTCTGGCATCGTCGCACTTTGACACATAATACTTTAAAAAATCTCTACAAGCCGCATTCAATGCATCAACGACTTTGACCCACAAGTCCATCTTTTCCTCAATGACTGCACGTTCACGCTTCGCCGCCGCCTCCGCGGAAGTCTCAACAAAGATGATCGATCCCATCCTACAAGTCGAGGCATTACTATAACGGTCATCCAAAGCAAAAATCCTAACCGTCTCTTGACAAAAACTATAACCCTAGGAGTAGATCGAGCTATAATTCGAGAGGTAACTACTCTAACAAAATCCTAATTAAACTATAACCATAACATTCGTCATATAGACATTTACTTAAGCATAACCATAACCTTAACCCTAACCATGTCATTAAACCTAACCCTAACAAAACCCTAAATGATATTTCTTACTACCCAAACAATGCTAGTGACACAATACATTGTCAAAGCACAAACATTACCCTAAATGCATCATATACATTGATTTCACCACAACAAAATCATGACCTAGTGATTCCAACAAAATGAGCAAAATGCATGATTTGAACCAACCAAATGAAGGGGGATGGGGGAGGTACCTTGGGTGATGCAAATGGCCTCGATCCACCGGCCAAATCTCAAGCAATGGAGGGGGATCTAGTGGGTGATTTGATGGGGAAGAAGAGGGGGAGAGAGCTTGAGCTCGAAAAGAAAAGTGGGGTGAATGAGTGGGTGGGGAGCAGCACATCCCCCTCCCCTCACAACCTTATCCAGGAACCTGCCGCCAGAGAGCTCGGCGGTAGGTTGCAAGAGCCTACCGCCATAGCCGGCGGCGGTAGGTCCCTTTGCCACGTGTGCACGACCGTTATCGGCTAGACGGCGTCAGGGAACCTACCGCCATAAGGGACGGCGGTAGCCTGTACTTACCTATCGCCAGGTTCTCCGGCGGTAGCAGATTTTTTTTTATACCAGGATCAGATTCCAATTTTATACGCCGAAAGGATCAAAACACGAAATTTGACCGCCCTCGGCTCGCCTGACGCCCTGACCCTGCGCAAATAGGCCACGCGCCGTTTGAGAGCTCTCCTGCTGCGCCGCGCACCGTCCGTGAGCGCACGAGTCAAGATAGCCCCCGAGCCGCACCGCTCCCGCGCACGCATCCAAACCAATCAGACGCGCGGCGCAGGGCCCGGCTGCAATTTTTTTACCCGTGACTTGACCCGACGCTGCGCCGCACCGCCACCCGGCGACCTGCGCCTGCCGACCCATTGGGCCGCGCGCCGCACTGCCATACCCATACCGGAGACCCAAGGTTTCGTACCGGAGAAGACCCCCTTTCCCCACAAAACAAAACGACCGCCCCTCCGCCCTTCTCCCGCCCTCGCCCCTCTCCCTCTCCTCCTCCCCTCCTTCCCCGGCAAGACTAGGGTTTGCAGCCACCGGGCCTCACCATGTACAACGGAGGCGACCACTACGACGGGAACGGCGGCGGCGCCGCCAACGCCAACAGCCTCTTCAGCGGCGGCGGGTTCATGCCCTCGCAGACCACCAACACCCCGGAGGGCAGCGGCGGCATCACCAAGGTTTGCCTTCCTAGCAATCCCGCCCAATCTCCCCTTGTTTTGTTTCCGGCCCCCAAATCTGATGATGCCGTCCCCTCCCGCTCAGACTCGCGGCGCGCAGACGCTGCTCCCGCTCACCGTCAAGCAGATTATGGACGCGTCCCAGACCAACGACGACAAGTCCAGTTTCGCTGTCAATGGCACCGAGGTGTCCACGGTACGAATACTGCCTCTTCGCCCGGTGTTTTTTGTTTTGTTTGAACTCCTCTTAACCCGGTGCTTAAGGACATTGTAAATAATCGACTCTCCTTTTTGGGGGATTTAATCGTTTCTTTTGTTTGAGCACTGATTCGACTTGTTTTGTATGCTTGCTGTGAAAGGTTTCACATTGTAGTTGGCAGAGCGGATTATAGTCGGACCGACACCTTCCTAGGAAAAAAAAAGAACCTTCCTCCGGACTGAAACATGTCTGTTCTTGAATTATTATTACTCACTCCGATCCAGGGAGTGAGGAAACGAATCTCCTCTCGTAATTTTATTTAGGCAAGCGGATTTGAAATTTGAACATATAACACTGGTCAGGTGTATTAGTTCAACTATGCAATAGGGAAAGAAACAATACCTTGGTTAGCGTCCATATTGCATTTGCTGAAGTTCTGTAATTTCTGTTCCTCTCCTAACCACACCCACCATCTGTAATGGGGCCTAAATGGCCCACACCAATGGGACTCCTTTACAAGGCATGACTCTGCAGCGCTGCTTGCTACCAGCGTTCACACAGTCATTGCTGTCCGTTTGATGGAAGGGATGCCGGAGGCTCATGCAGCCTCCCTTCCCCTTGTCACATACTCCCTCCGTTCACTATTATAAGATGTTTTGGATATTTCAAGATAGACTACATACGCAATATAATGAGTGAACAAACACACTCACTAAAACGTGTCTGCATACATCTAATTGAGAAAAAAAGTTGGAAACCATACACATGGCTAGTGAGCCACTGGGGCATCCTGGTTAACCATACACATGAGCCCAAATTGCTAGTAAAACACCCCCGGTTCAGCCATTTAATCAGGTTGGGGCTGGCTGCAGTGCAAGTGCAAGGATTGTGCAGTCATGTATTTCCGAACCTTGTGGTTTTGTGAAATGCACGCAGTTTAGAGGGCCCAATCGCAACTCGCCTTTGGCTGTTTGTGTAGTGTGGTTTGAAATGGTTTTTCTTTGAACACTTTGCTTCCTATCGAGATCGACGGAGATCAGCTTGTTGTTTATCTAATTGTTTTATTGCCCTGGATTGCAGGTTAGGCTTGTAGGACGCATGATGAATAAGGCAGAGCGGATGACAGATGTACGATTCATTCTTGATGATGGTACAGGCAGGATAGAAGTGAATCGCTGGTGAGATGTTATGTATTGCTTTGGTTTGTCTACAGTCGACCAAATTTTGGAGTGTCACTCATATACGCTGTCCTTTATTTTATTTTTCCAGGGAAAATGAGACATCGGACACTACAGAAATGGGTTTAGTCAAGTAAGGATTAAAACTGGTTGTCATATGATGGGAAATTGGTTTCCATGCAATAAACTTCACATCTTCGTCTTCTTTTGTTTACAAGGGATGGTGACTATGTTATTGTCAATGGTGGTCTGAAAAGCTTTCAAGGGAAGCGTCACATTGTTGCTTATTCCGTGCGGTGAGCACTTTGATCCTCCTTTTATGATATTAGAATGTGAGCTTTCAATAATTTATTTCGTTAGTTAGGCTGTGGTTGGCATTGTGATGAATTATAAAAATGTTGTTTGTCCAACAGTTTTTGCCTCTTTTATTATTGGGTAACCACCCTTTTCCTGCCTTTATGGATATATTTTTCCACTGCCGATTATTAAATAGTGAATGCTTCTTTCTAAGCCGACTGAGAAACTCGTATTGTTAAGTCGATTGAGAAACTCATATTTCTAAGTCACAACCACAACCCTTAATCCTTTATCCAATGGACACATTTTAGAAGTCATATGCAATGCCAGTTGCACACTTATACACATGAAGTTCCATGAGAACTTCTGTGCGACTCTAGGTCTCACGATGTGCAATTTGATCAGCTTATAATTAATATTTTATGGGTCACCTTACAAATAGCAAAACTGTATGAAGTTCAGTGTTGCGCAGTTCAGCTGCTGCAAACTGAGCCTTAGTATTTTAATGAAGTTTGCTGTATAAAGGTTTGCTCTCTATTGAATCATGCCACTATAAAGGTGATTTGTATTTGTGCAGCTTTTCCATGTGCAGAAGTAGTAGAACAATTTAAATGGCTGGTGTTACCGTGTTAGGGACAACAGTCCCTCTGTTACGAATCATAAATAACTAAATATTGTAGTACATATGCACAATTATGTGATTACCGAACTTCTGACCAACATAATGATATATGGTGCTGTTAATATTATTGTAGTGTCGATTGTTTCTCATCCAAATGCGTTGATATATAAGACTGAAATTGTTTTGCTGTATGATGCGTGTAAAAGCAGTTAAGATTTTCTGTGGTGGAATGGTGTCTAACCTATGAGAATATTTTCTATACCCATTTGACATTGGTCAGCTACATTTTAATCTTACTTTATATGAATTCTTGTCAGGCTTGTAACCAACTACAATGATATAACACATCACTTTCTGTACTGCATTTATGTGCATTTGGATCTTGCCAAGGCTAAGGTACTGTCATCCAAGCCTTTCTTTCTAGTAGGATTTTATTTACAAACTGAACAGTATCTATAATTTCTGAAGATGCTTTCATTTCTTTGGATCTTTTATTGTTGGTAGAAATCTGGGACACAGCCTCAAGTAACTGCTAATGCATCATGGAACCAAGCTCCGCCCCCTAATAATCAGGTAGTTTGAGGAAGTATATCATCATTTTACTATAATAATCCACTGAATTGCTGCCGAACATGTTTGCTCCTCCTTACTCAGGCCCCAACACTATCTGCATCTGGGAATGCTGGTGGGCAAGATTTAACTGATATGGTCATGAATGTTTTTCATGACCCAATGCTTGTGTAAGTTAATTCTGTTGCAGTGTTATGTTATGCTTAGCGCTAGTGGGTTCTTTTTCATATAATTTGTACCACCTGTGTCCCCTGCGATCCTCCCCTTCCAGGCCTCCATGGTCATGCTGATGGGAAATATAAGCTTTTCTACTGTATATATGCCTCAATATTGCTAGGTATTCTCTCATTTATAGAATGGAGAACGATGACTGCATTGTGTTCCTGCAGAAACCTGGAGCATGGAGTTAGTATCGAACAGGTTGCAAGCCGTCTTAACATATCAGATGCACTTGCCAGGTATCACCCTTTACCCCGGCCCCTCTGAAATACATTTGACATTCTAATAATCCTGAATTTCTTTTTCACAGGTCGACTGTTACACATCTTATTGATGTTGGCAACCTCTATCCAACTATCGATGACAACCATTACAAGTCTACACTGAATGGTTGATATGGCTGTGCCCACGCGTGCAAGCGTTAGGCTCCCCTGGAGCGATCGAATAATATAAGCACTCTTGCAAGAGTTGTTTTTGCAGAGTGGCTTGCTGGTCCTCTAGACAGTCGCAAGGAGAGCAACTTAACGGCTAGGTTAAGTTGCATATCTAAGCACTTGCGCCTTATGTGTAATGGATATGAGTAGGTTAGATCTCTAGGTGCTTTCGTTTGTGTTTGCTACTGCAGTACCTCGAGAACATCCATGCCTGTGTGACCTGCAATTAGTTTGCGACTTGTTTGTGGTTATGACTCTGCCCTGCATATTGTTTCTGGATTCAGTTAACGTTTGCCCTAAAAATGCATATCATGCATCTGATTATTTCTGGATTCGAAATCCTCGGTGCACCTCAAAAGAATGCAATATCAAAAAGGAGAGAAGTTTTTTGGCACCAGATTATTTTTGCTGTAGCAGATGATGTAAAACTGCTGCCAAAAATACGACTGGGGGAGACGGCAGGACGGTGGCGGGCAAGTTCAGTGATAGTGGCAGGAGCTCAGGGATGGCGAGGTATGGGGCGGCCGTGTGGGGACGGGTGATGGGCCGGCCGGCGTCGACGGGACATGGCAGCTATTTTGCGAGCTCGACGGGGTCAGGGGGCAGCTGCAGAGGTCACTGAGGGATGAGGTAATATATTTATGTTGGTAAAGTGGGATTTATATGGTATAGAAGCTTGTGTGTGTGTGTGTGTGGATGGTTTGAGTTGTACGCACGACGAACTAAAAAGTGCAGTTCCAACGCACGACTTCAGTTGACAAAAAACAAAGAAGATAGCACCCGCATGATAGAGCGGCGGGGTTCATGGTGGCCGGCGGAGTGAAGAGTTCGAAATATGCAGCATTGGAGCTAAAATTTGGGTATCATAGGCCGGAGCTTTTTTTTTGGGTAAAAATGCACTAAACCGCAATCTTTTGGGCAAGGCCGCAGTTTTCATATCTGGTGGAGATGCTCTTACGATCCAGATGGAACATTGTTATGGAGGAACATGTCACAACTCACAGCGCCACAGTTACACAAGACACAGACAAAATGTGAAATGCTGTTACACCTAATACTATGTCGTTCTGCCTCTAAATTTTTTCCTCTTCCTTTTTACACTGCGAAGGAACAGCTACAATCGTTTCGGAAATTTGATTCGTAGGGATAATTCTCCCTTGCCTGGACCCAAGATCTGGCTTTTCTACAAAACAAGTGGCCTGGGAAAGTGGCTCTAATTACATGCGGATGCTGATGCGTGGCCATGGCTTGCCGTTGTCCCTTCTAGCCACCAAGGAATTTGTCCACTTTGACATTGTCTCCTCTTGTCAAGAACTTCATGCAAATGGGAGGATTCACCTTGGCAAGGGCAAGAATGGACTGAGGCAGGGTCCAGATCCCGTCCCCGCAAATCAACCCTGAAGCGACAGCAGGTCCGAAGGCATCTGCTTTTGCCTTGTTCACCTTCTCCCACACAAAGAGTATGAAGCTGCCCAGGAACATGTCGATCGCAAAGTATGACCCTATGTAGAAAGGTATAGCCATTGCCATAGGGAGCGGGATGAACCTCGAAAACTTGTGCGGTGTCAAGTCTCTTATCAGGTTGATGGCAATAGCCGCAGCGAAGAAGATGTAGCAGAGAGTCAGGCAGTTCTCCGGAAGCGTGTTGAAGCCATCCACACCCAATATCGCCATGTTTCGGTACACAATGGCATAAGGCGCTGGGTATTCGGTGCCGCTTGTGCCGATGTCGCTGAAGGCCTTGTAGAACAGCCAGAAGACACAGGGGGAAATGACACAACCCATTGCTGTGCCTATCACCTGGCTGATAAACATGGACTTTGGTGACGCCAAAGTCAAGTAACCAGTCTTGAAGTCTTGCATCAGGTCAGAGGCAGTTGACACGATGCTCATCATCACACCACATGCAGCAAGTCCTACAAGCACACCGCCATTGGCAAGGCCAGCCCATGCACCAAAGACGAAGATAGCAAGCTTGCCATAGGTGGAGGCAAGGGACCAATCAGTGAGCCCACTTCCGTAGGCATTGCAGAAGGCCAGGATAGGTGCTACCACATAGGCAACTAAAATGTAGTACCACTTGAGCTGCGGGAAGATCTGAGGAAGAGTGCCGATAGATATAGAAGCAACTACGGCATAGCCTCCATATGCAACTGCCATGGGGATTTGATCTTTCAGGAATAGTTCAGTGCGACGCTCATCATCAAAGGACATAGCTTCAGCGGTGGGGCTGCCATTGTCTGAAACAGGAAGCATGGCTTTCGAATTTTTATGAACCATTGATATGAAGCCGGCAATTGTGCGGATAAGCACCTTGACAAAGTTATATAGCCCATCCCCAAGAATCAAAGCAATGGATATAAAGACCTGTAATGGTAAAGCAACCAGCAATCAAAAATCTTGGTCGCAAAACTGTTGGTTTTTTCAGACAACATTGTTGGATTTTAGCTTAGACGAAAGTGAAGACAGTGCAAGATCAGAGTGCTTACCCTGTAAGCCTGCAGCCCATGAAGACTAGATTCTGGGAGAGAAGCAGGGTACCAACTCCCTTTTTTCTTGCCAATGAGAGGCCACATTATACCCCACGAGATGATACCTCCTAGAATAACAGACACATTCACGATGTGTGGGCAGATCATGCCAACCCCAACATATGTAGGAGAGAAATCAAAGTAGAACCTGGAAGACGATAAGTTAGGTTCAGTATAGGAGACTGCCAGGGAACTACCGTAAGCAAATGTTCAGACACTAGACATTATCTTGCAGCCGGTAAATAAGCATAAATAATTTCCACCATGACTATAGAAGAAAAACATAGTGTAGCAAGATGTAGACGTTTCTGTAGATACATTAGTCAGGTTATTTCCAGATATTGGACAAATCATAATCAATGCTGTCAGCAGAACCAAGATGATGTCATTACTGACCTATTCTTGTAAGCTTCAAGGCCTAATGTTGGGAAGTTCTTGAAACCGCAGTCATCGCCACCACTGAAGAACCATTGGAAAAAGCCCCAGAAAAAGCTCAACATAAAGTACCTGCCCAGTATCTTTACTTGCTTCCTGAAACAAGATGGTCACTGCTGTCAGCAAAGTTTTTTGGCACTTGTATAAGCAGTAGAGAACAGAACTGCTATCAACATACTTTGCAAGCTTGGCGCCCTCAGGTGTGTGAAAACCATTGATGAGATAAGCAGTTGCTGTGCCACTTGGATAGGTCAGCTTGTAGTCGACAATCATGATCTGGAAGAGCAACTCAGCTGATGAGAACAAAGTTTGCTTGTACTCCCTCTGTAAAGAAATATAAGAGTGTTTAGATCACTAAAGTAGTGATCTAAACGCTCTTATATTTCTTTACGGAGGGAGTATACAGTTATTTAGTAAGAACAAAGGGAGAAACATGTTGAAGGCCTTACTTTTCTCATGGGCACAAGAGCAAAAATCCCAATAAAACTGACGAGGAAAAGAAAGCCTATCATCCATCCAAGGTGAGGTTCCTTGATGTTCCAAGCATCATTAGCCTCCGTTGCTTGCTTAGCTATTGTGTCACTCATTCCAAACAGATAACTGCCAAACCCACCTGACCAATCGTAACAAATAAGAAAAGCAACATGTCAATTAGCCAAAGTAATTTGTTTGTGCATAATGACATACTAGCAAGTACAGTTTCACAAGGCAGGCAGATCGATCAGCAAAGATAAATAGGGTTATGTGCTAATGTACTTTCCACAATTACAGAAATTAATCAAGCAGTTGATTTCATGCATCGTATGATTTCCTCATCTTACGAATTATGATCATATATTTTTGCGAATCATCCCATGACCAATTTGAAACATAGATAATCAGTTAATCATCGCTCACCATCCTGGAAATTCCTATTTGATACTGGTGCAGTTGAAAGAGAAACAGAAGCATATGTAAAGCTGCTGACAAGAATTTCCACATAGTAGACCGACTTATGAACAAAGGACATTTGTGTCCATTTTCAAATCAGCAACGCGTATGCACTGTCACGGGGACTCTCAAGTCTGTGAAATGAAATCAGCGACTATCACATGAAAGTATTCCCATATAAGCTTGAACGTACATGTAACATGGTTCCAAAATAAACCCACAGACCATACTAGTTGTTTATGTTCATGTGGACTCAATGCTTCACATGCATGCGTCATGTCTATCATAGATAAATAAATACTAGAAAACAATGAGCCGTGCATCTATCTATTTTAAGCTGAGAAGTCAAACCAAGCACGCTCCTCCATTTGCAGCTTGTCCTCAACACTAGCTGTAATTTGCCTCTCCATCCTTATCACCAGCGCCAAAACTTCAAAAGATGTTGTTGACCATTGCACCTACTTGGTTCACTCATTCACCTAATGAACCAACCAAAAATGGTCCCTAATTTCGTCCTAGATGCTTCACAGTTCAGTCAGGTGCACGCAAGTACCATCGTCTCCAACATCTAGTTCGGAAGATTGGAAAAACAAAAGGCACACTGCAGTCCACCTAACACACCTATCAAACCACAAAGTCCGAATCCAAGAAGTTTCTTGTGTTGTGCTTTCCCTATCGTTGCTCTCATCATAAGCCCACTTTGGAGGATTTGAATGCGACTGGTTCGTATTTTTCCTTGGGGGCAAAAGAAACAATGGATTCCCTGATGCCCCAAGCCACCAACCCACTAGTGCAAATCGCTATGCCTATGCCCACCTCTACCTCCTGAGCCCAGATCTGCATCGTGCTCCTCCTTATCCCCCATAGCCCAGATTACGACGAATCCCAAAGCTATCGACATACACGCACGAACGAAATGGATTCGTCTACTGGTCAATGTCAGACAAACTTTCCATACGAAGGTAAGAGCACGAAATTGAGGCGTTGAAGCAAAGCCGACACTCAAACTTGACATTCGCAAAAAAAACAATGTTCCTAGCACGCTTCAATTGTAATTTGTAACTG